CCACCACCTACAAGATGTCACTCTGGTTCTCAGCCATCACAATCTTGCAAATGAATTCTTCTGAAGATTCCAGGCCCTGGATCCCAAGATTCACCCCAGATCCAGCCAGATGTGCACATGTAAATGTACCAGAAGGAGGGACATAAGAAAAGTGATGATTATAAAGCACTCAGCACAGAGCCAGGCACAAAGCAAGCTATTATTATTAAATGTTGTGTCATTAAATGCTAGCTCTTATCATTGTTATTTTCTCACTAAATATTAGCCAGTGTCATGTTATTATTGATAATGAGAACTGGACTGTAAAAACTTTAAAATTCAACCATGAAGCACAGCTCTTGTCTAGATCTGACTTTAACCATATGCATAATCTTAGGAAGCCTTTTACAAGCATCACAGCATACACCATTGTGACAAACACGTAGAGCAGGTATCATTAGCCCCACTCTGTAGAAGAGATAAACTGAGGCTCAGATTAGCAAATATAGCAAAGATTTGGCAAATGACAGAGCAGAGACAGCTCCCAGTTCTCTCCATTCTGAAGCCTGTGCTGTATCTTTAATCACCTTTGCTCTACTGCTTGCCGTGTTTTGCACAGAAAACCTGAGCTTGGCAACCAAATGAACTGTGTTTATTTGCGCTCATGGAAGGTAACAGCAGATTTGCGGTAAATTCTTTTAGAAAGTGAAGAATAACATACTCTCCCTGACAACCTGGCACTGCCTCTCACCCTGTCCCACAGCTCCTCCGTGAAGGGAAGCTGATCTGGATGAGCTGCTGAAAATGCAAATCTAAACAGCCCCTCCCTTACATGAAAATATTTTCCTGAAGACGTAAAGTAAAACTGGTGGTGGCGTCTGGGCTAGAGAACATTTCAGAAAAGCAGCAATGAGAGGAAGGCTTTCACTGTACACATTCTCAATTTTGTAATTTGTGCATGAATTAAGCATTCTTAAAACACAATTTCGACTAAATGCATGAATGAATACATAAATAAGACAAACATTTTCTTGGCTCCCCTCTCCCAGGCCTTTACTCCCACGATGGTATGGAGTTCAAGTTCTGCAACCTGATTTCTGTCAACAGTTACTGTTTCCATTTACCTCCCTCCCCTTCTTGTACTGGAGGACCTTAGTATGTACACATGCACGGCTTGCCTCATGGGCTTCTCTTTGCCTCCAACGCCCTCACTTCCTTCAAGTGCATGATTCCTACCGTCCTTGCACACTACTCTGTGTGTGTGTTAAGACCTGCTTGGCAGCCTGGCAATTCCTATGGTTCCTTTCTCAGGATAATGTCTTTAAGTCTATAAAATAACATACATAGAATTACAAAGATAAGTATATTACAATAGAATGACTAAAATATTACCAAAATTGTAATGTAATAATACCTGTACTTCATGAACCACACATGAAATAACAAAATCTGGTGGCAGGTCTGTCAATCACCATAGTTTTGAAATACTGCTAAGCGGAAACCGTATTTCAAGATATCTGCAACAACAGTCCTATGAGAAGAAAATATCTGTGATTTCTACTGGTGACAAAGTCGCAGATGTTGCTAATACCACAGGTATTAGTTTCCTACATTCATAACTGAAGGGAATGCTACATTTTAGTCACAGGTTTATGAAAATCAGGAAGCACCATTCCTCTACCCAAGGCCACAGACGTCTTGAGTTTGGTCCATGGGTCCCAGGTTATGAATCCTTGCTCCCAGCTTGGCTGTTGCAGACGTCACTTCTACCAGAAAGTCTTCCGTGAGTTCCCAGCAAAGCTAACCGACCTTTGTGGCAGCCAGTCTCTAAGACAACCCCGTGATCCCCACCACCTGATGTTCTTGCTCTTGCATGTTCCCTCCACACTAAACAGGGCTGAAACTGTATAATAAGTAGAATGTCGTGGAAAGGACAGAAGGACAGAATGTGATTTGCAAGGCTACCTCACAAAAGACATTGTGGCTTCCTCCCCACTCTCCCTGGATCACTTGCTCTGGAGAAACCAGCCACCATGCCATGAAGACACTCAAGGAACTGAGGTCTCCTGCCAGTATCTCCTTGCTAGCCGTGGGTGAACCGTCTGAGAAGCAGATCTTACAGCCCGGATCACCTCACGTGCCTGAGGCTCGACTGACATCCTGATGTCACTTCATGAGAGACCATGAGCCAGAACCACCCTGCTAAGCCACTCCTCAATTCCTGGCCCTCAGAGCCTGTGTGAAATAATAAATATTTGTTGTTGTTTTAAGTTTGGGGTAATTTGTAAGCAGCAATAACTAATTACTATAATGAATACACCCTTCCTTTTGTCCTCACCTCAGTAGAATCACATACTTCCTTCTCATATAGCATTTAGCATGTAATATTAAAACTGTCTGGTTAAGTCTGTCTCCTCCTTGTCTGTGAGAACCATCATCAGATTAAATGTGGGCCCAGCTCCACGCACCCTGGAATTCTTAGCATCCAGCATGAAGATATAAGTCAAAGCTTATCAAACACCAAAGGATGGACTGTGTCCCCCCTCCCATATCTCAGACTGATGGGGATTGCATTAGACCTCAGTATCTCCATCAGGAAAGTGGGGGTACTGCTGATGCTTACCTCTTAAAAGTGAGGTAAAAATTACGTAATCCATATAAATAGGCCTCACGCAGTGATCACCGCTGCTATTATGTGTTAATATAGTCACTGTGGGTTCCCTGAGCTTGTTTTTTATCTAATGGGGCCAATAGGGCCCACTGAAAAATAAAAGCTAACATTTATCAAGCACCTACTATGTTCCAAGCACTGTGTTTAGCACTTACTAAGAGTTATGTCCTTCTACCAGCCATTCTAGCAGGTAGATGCCATTATTATCCCCACTTTACACAGGAGGAAATTAGAATTGAGAGGTAAAACTTGCTCCCAAATCAGAGCAGGACCAGAGCTGCCTAGGACCTAGTTTATTCTGACTCTCCACCATGGCCGTATATACATCGCAGGCTCCAGATGAAATCATGGTTGTGAACTTGTGAAATGTAAAATGCCACTTTCAAACAAAGGACCCTTGTGGCTCTGTGCCAGTGTGCTGTGCTCCTTGGAACTGCCAGAGAGGTGAAGGGATGAAGAGAGACGTTTGGGAGAAGACTTCCGCTGCCCAGTTTATAAAGGGCATCTCATTTCATCCCTCAGCTGCCCGCCGAGTCGAGAAGGCACTACGTCTTCGTTATGCCGACAATCACACTAAGACAGAAGCCCATGGCTGCCTTTATTTCCAAGCTAGTCCTGGAGCCAGCAGTCTTAATAAGGGCTTAGCACAGTGCTAGGTGTTCCAGACTCCAAAGATGAGGAAATTTCAAGTACAGCATTTGTATATTAACTGTCAGTTCACAAGGCTTTGGTTAATTATAAAGAGAGAGATTCAAAAAGCTTACTAAACCTATATAACATGGATCCCTAATACAGATTGGTATCTTGGGTGAAAGACACACGTTAAAAACCTAAATGAGGATTATCTTGAAAGTGAGGTACATGCCTGTCTGGCCCACCTTTCCTCCTTACTGCCAGTTGGAAAATGGATATGATGTCCAGGGTGCAAGCAGCCTCCTTGGACCATGAGGTGAAGGTCACACCCGGGGAAGTGAAGAAAACGACTGAGAGGCTGGGTCCTTGACAACTTTATGGAACTCTCATGCCTACCCTTCACTCTCCAGTCCCATGTTTATAAAGAAATTATGTGTTTAACTTTCTAGTTAAGTTGGGCATTCTGCCCTTGAACCAAACCTAATCCAAGAAGTCAAGCTACATGTGTCTCTTGCTTCCCAGATTCCAAAAAGTTCTTGCTACAAACTTCTCTCCTTTACTCTTTGTCCTTCTATACTCATTTTCCAAAGCAAAATAAAATGTACTTTTTGTCATTTTAGTAGCTCTGAAGAGAAAGTGGCTATAAAGGTAGATGTCCAGTTGCTATCTTTGATCAGAAGTCTGCCCTTATGAGATCTGGGGGGAAATTTAATAACATAATGAATAGAAAGTTCTGAGTATAAAGCCGAGCGCAGGGCAGGCACACAGGAACTGACAGTCCTTATGGCTCTCTCATTATCATTATTACCATTGTTACCATTTATAAGGCTTTACCTGGTGCTCATATCTGAAGGTGACACTACCATGCCATTTAAAGAAAAAAAAAGACCCATGCCATGTGTACAGCTGTAGCTGTGCTCATCTAAATCAACACACATTTGTTATTTTTTCATAAATCAAGAGAGTATTTGTAGTGGCAGGGGATTTAAATAGCCTGATTTAGCTCCTTCAGGCTACAAAGCATGTTTTGTTAATCTAACAGAAATAAAATAGACCATATGCAAAACTGTCATTCCCCTGCCATCTCATGGGGTAGGTACTTAGAACTGCAATTAAATTCTGACAAAAGAGTTCAGAGGGAGGTGTAGCGGGTCTGTTCCTCACTGCTGTGTGTGTGTGAGTGGGACAGAGGTGGCAGTGGGGCAGCCCAGGTGCCAGGGGTCCTAGAGCTGGGAGCAACTGTACTTGAACCTTCATATCACCTCCTGTTTGCAGAAGGTACTTGGTAAGAATTTTAATTTTGACCTCCATGTCGTCAGTTAAAAACATGAGGATAATTTATTTTCTTCCCCTTCCAAGCTACAAATCTCCTCTAAAAAAAAAAAATTCCTAATCTTCTCATCTTTGCCCTTTTCTTTGTCCTGATGCTTTCTACATATCAGTGACCACTCATCATAGCCCTGCCATCCAGCTGAAGGCAGTATGTGCATGCAAGTCCAGCTCTGGCACTGGCTGGGTAACACGTTAGACCTCAGTTTCCCCATCCGGAAAATGGGGATAATGTTAATGCCTGCCTCTTGGGGGTGAGGTAAAGATTACATGAGAGAATGCCTGTGAAGTGCTTAGAACAGAGACTGCTGCATAGCAAATATAAAAAGCTGTGAACAAATGATGTTAATGTTGCAGGCCCTGTACTAAAAACTATATTTGGGTTATTTAATGATCACAAAAAGCTTATGAGGTAGAGGCTGTTATTTTCTGTATGTTGCCAATGAGATACAAAAGGCTAGTAACTTTCCTAACTCAATTACAGATTGTAAGTGGTGGAACTCGGATTTGCATCCAGGCAGCCAGCCCCACAGGCTGGGTCATACACCACTCTCCAGCACCAATCTGCATTAGCTGTGTGCTAAAAAGGTAACTAACTCAATTGTTGAACTTTCTTCCATTTTTTGCATCAGTTTTAAATCATTGTGAAATTACTATACTCATTTTCTGTGTCAAGCCAGGAAAAATCTCTAGATGGTTAAAGAGATGGGAAATAGGAGCTAATATTACTCAGTACTCACTAAGCACACTAGACACATAAAGTCACTGAAGCTCACCGCAATTCTATGAAGAACGTACGCTGTTAAAAATTCTCCTTGTACAGTTGTGAGAACAGAGGCTGTAAGAGGTTAAGTATTAGGAGCAAAGGGCAGAGTTCTGCATGCCCCAACTCATACCAGGATGTCTTAATGCCTCTGCAGACATGGTCCCTACCCTTAAGGAATTTATACTCTGCCCAGGAAGACAGCCCCTTGAACCTGCTGGCCCTACTTGTGCCCCTGTTACCTCTCCCCTCTACTCCCCCACTTCGATCCCCAGGGGTACATTCTGAACAAATACTCAGAAACTGCCCCTGCACAGCCATGTATACAACCCCACCCATGTCAAAGCTGAGCATATGAGTTGCTTCTCCCTCCATGGTGCCCACTGCCTTCAGCATGAATGTAGTCAGAGGTGCCTGCCGTGGGAAGCCATGCGTACTGGAGACACCGTGCATCTCCCACGTGGGGCTCAGTGTCTATTGTGCAGGCGTTGCATGCTTGGTGGAAGATGGTCTCCATTATCCATGGGGAGAGGCCAGCAGACCAGAGCACTTGGGTCAGAATATCCATCGTGCAAGCTGACAAAAATATTTCCCAGCATGATTTTAACAGCAGGCCAAGAAACTAAGTTCCTCACAATGGGTGCTGATGAATTAAGTAGACATGATAACTAAGCAGTTATTGAAAGTTTTGTTTGTAAAGGAATTAATAATAAGGACAATGCTTAGGTACAATCTATATGTGGTTCTTAACTCTGTGTTGATCAACCTCTAACTGAAAAAAGTGACGCCAGTGTCCCATGACTCTGTCTCCAATAGAAATCAGGGTATTTTCACATGATGTGACAGTAGTTGCAAAACCCTTAAACTACTGTTTGTGCCCATCACTTCTTTGAAATTCACCAAGTTATTAGAAATTAGAGGTGAAGAGGATAAGGGGCTCAAATCCCAATTATAAATAAGTAAGTCACGGGAAGGTAATGTACAGCATAGGAAATATAGTCAGTAATACTGTGGCGTCTTTGTCTGATGACAGATGGTAACTATACTTGCGGTGAACATTTTATAATGTATACAATTGTCAGATCACTATGCTATACACAGGAAACCCATATAACATACTGTATTTTATTTCAATTAAAAAATGACTTCAATTTTTAAAAAAAGAACTTAGATCTTATATCATGCATTATTAAGGCAGTACATATATTCTGTATCACAGATTTTTTGGAAATACTATGAAACTATATTTCAGTATCAGTTTTTTTGTTATCCCATGCATTTTATTTTATGCATTTTAAAACATAATCCTGACAAGCATTCTGGAGGATTCATCAGACTTCCAAAGTGCTCCGTGGTGCAAAAGTGGTTAAGATTTTATATAAATTTTACATAGATAAATTTGTTTCTGACAGTCCTTCCTGTGAAAGAACCACCTATTTTTTCTCTCCTCATTATTGAGATGAGCTGAGAAAGGAGGGTAGGCAAAGATCACACAGGAAGGGGCAGAACTGGCCTCTGATACCAGCCCCCAGCTCTTAATCATAATGTTACACTGCCTCTTAAGATGTGGTCCCTGCCCCTAAGGAATTTATAATCTGCTGAAAAAGGTAGATTTATTGCCTCCTGCACACAACTCTATTTCTTTCTCTATGTCCATCCCAAGGGAAGTTCCTCTCTTTGTTAGCACATCACACAAAAAATAAAGGTAGATGGATTTTCATTAAATTCAGATAGCACACTGAGAAGGTTTGATCTAAGACTCTCTTTGGCAGACCCTTGATGGAGAGGGCGCCTAAATTAACTTCTCTTACATATGGATAATTTTGCCCAGAAGTTTAAAGATTTTATGGATTAGCTGGGTGATACGCAGCCCATGCCCATTAAATTCTGAGCTAACGTGAGAAATTTTCTCCTGTAGATACCTCTAACATGATGCTGGGCGTAGGGGGTTGGAAACTGCCCACACCTAATAAACAACACAGCTCTGGGTTATAGCACCAAGAGCTAAAGCAAGATGAAAAAAAAGGAATTGGAAGGTAACCCGAAAATACATTCCACAAGGGATACTGGCCTCAGAGACAGGGTCTTCTGCTGAAAAGTAAAAGGAACTTCCAAGGCGAAGAGTTCCTGCTGGTGAGTTAGGATTCATGCTAGGGCAGACTCTGGGATAACTGCTGATAGCTATTCCCTTCCTCCTTGCTAACAGAACCCTGCATTTATGTGGCAGCAGTGTGCACCACCTTAGGAATTAAATTGTATACCTCAAGTCAATCAAGGCAACCCATTCGCTTTGCTAGTATTTGGTCAGTCAGTCCAATGAGATATTAGGGGAAGTCGTCTTGGAGCTTTTGGGAAATTTTTCCTTTGTGAAAAGTGAGAGGCTTTGGAAAAGAGAGTTTGCCTTCTACTTGGAAGTCTGTGGTGTCAACATGTGGTGCTTAGAATTGAGGCAGACTTCTTGGGAATATGATGGAAAACACTGCTGGCACACTTAAGATGGCAGGACAGGTGAATAAGAACCTGGGACTTGGATGACACTGTTAGGTCACAGTAATCAATCAATGTCCTTCTAATAGGGGCCACATTGTAAAGGCTGTACAATTGCTGCAGCCAAGTGCATTCAAACCTATGCACTCTGACTCCATTGATGGAGACCAAGATGGTCCTGAGAGATGTTCACTTAGTGCCTATGGGCAGCCTCTCCAGATTGGCAGCCAAACATTCCATGCACCAGACTTGGTGGGTTTCAACTGCCTGGGAAGAGCTTGCGTTTCCTGAACAGCACGCACACCAGAGTCAAACCAGCACATTTCCATAGGATATGACCAAGTCGGATCAACTGTAGCCTGACACCACTGGTGCTCTAGATCTCTTTCAGTTGTCGTTAGGTAACCAGGGACTGATTTGTCACGGCCACCGGTAAGTCAAGGGCTGTTTCTCCTACTGAGCCTTCTTTGTGATCGACTCAAGTCGTGTGTGCTGGGATGAGGAGCAGATAGATGGGAATGAAGCCCTAAACATGGCCTATGTTGCCTGCGTGATCTGGCCCTCCTGTCTGCCTCTCTGGAAACTCAGCTGCTGCCAACAACATTTTCACTTTGCCCTATAACCACAGTGGTTTTTGGCCACCTAAATGCCTTCATACATGCTGTTTTTACTGACCAAATCCCCCCTGCCCCACAACTCCTCCTGGCCCTAGCTAAGATCTGAGCCTAGTCTCTCAAGGCTTAGCACAAATATAGGAAATCTAGGAAGCTTTCCCAGCCCTCCAGAACTTTCTTTTTAGTTATAGTTCACTTAACACCCTATATTTCTCCTTATGTTCTTTCTATTTCAGTTTTTAAAAAGTCATTTTAAATGAGTCAGTCATTTAATGTCTGTTTCACCCAACGGGATGTCAGTGACATTAGGCAGGGACCATGTCTTAGCACTGTATCCCTAGAGCTCAGCATAATGCCCAGCACATAATAGGTGCTCAGTAAACACTTGCTGTTCTCCAAATAGGAGTTAAAATGGTGCACACACTCCAACACCAGGGATGCTCTCAGATGCTATTAATGCGTCGGTTATAGAGCAAGGACAAAAGTATCTCTGGTATCCAAAGTGCCTGACTTAGAGTGGTTTCAGGGTGATTAATTCAAGGGCCCAGGTTCTTTTTATCCTTTCATCATGCTGTTCTCGCCAGGGCTTTGGCTGGTCTGCTTGCACTGACACCATCATGGTTCCTAGATTGCTGCCGTGGTTCTAAAGTGAGAAGATAATATCCAAACCCAGAAAAAGAGAACATCCCTTTCTTGTCCCCCTGCTCAAGAGTGAGAGAAGTCTTCTGGGACACCCCTCAGTGGCCAGAATTGTGCCACATGCCCATCCTGGAACTTATCATTGGCCAGGGAAATGGCACTCTGAGAATCCAGCTAGACCAAGACCACAGGAGAATTCACCTTGAGGCCAAGGGGCGGTGCACAAAGCAACCATGACTGTATCAGCAAGAAAGAAGCTGGGCTGTGTGCAGACGGTGTGCTGGTGCGTTGCTGATGCTCAACGTGAGAGGCTTTATAGGCATCTAAGAATGTCTGCCACCCACCCGCATCATGCATCCACAGAAGGAAATTCATTAGAAGAAAGACTGGCATCAAAATACAGTGAGCAGCCAAAGGAGAGAAGTATAATTCCAAGGGGAAAAAAAATAATGAAAAGAAATTGTTCAATAATGAATTCAGAACCTATAAAAGACCCTTTAAACATCTCCTCCTCATTAACAGTAACTTCTATTTCATCCCCCACCATCAATATCTTTTGATTGGTCTGATAGTCAACTGTAGTGAACATCTAACAATATAATGCAAATACAATCAATGTAAATTGATTACAAAGCAGAACTGCAAATCTTTCCAAAAGCACGGGCTGTCATAAAACTAGTGTAGGTGATTTCTGAGAATGGCCTCCATCACAAAGGCAAAGGTCGCATAGACGTACACCAGTTAACAACTGAGTTGGATAAAGGATGAATAGGGGCATTTAAAAAAAAATTGGACTAAAGGGCTAGAAAAAGGCCACTGTTAAAAAATTCATCAAGTTCTTGAATATTGTTTTTGCATATGAGATCTTCTTTACGTTCCTGATGTCTAAGTCAATGGTGAAGGGCAGGACACCATATAATCTTGCAGGAAAAAAATGAACCATCCCCTCCCGCAAGATTAACATTTGATTCATTTTTTTATCCTACGATTCAATGAAGTTGCTATTATGGCCTACATCTGGATAAATATCACAGTAAATAAACTTACTCTTATCATTTACAGCTACAGTTTTTCCTCCATTTATAACACAATTTTGGTTACCTTTGCAAGGGGCTTAAGGCCTCACTTGGAGAGCAAATGATCTTGGGATAATAAAACCTCCAGTATTTTAAAATGAAAAAAAAAAACGGGGTACCAAAGACTTTACAAGATAATTGTAACCATATAAACATATTTATGTATTTGCATGAGAACTGAAGGTAAAAACAGAAGTGTATACATATGGGGGAATGAAGGTTAATTCCCTTCCTCCCTTTTCCTTTATATTTCCCCCCAAATATTTCATTCTTAATAACTTTTGTTAACAATAAGCCCAGGAAAAAAAATCCAATATGCTTGTGAGCTATTTAGTCTAGTCATAATAATGTTGTGTTAAATAAGCACACCCCTGATTCAATGCTCACAGGGTATGAAAGGCAGCCTGTAAGGTGGCCCCAGTGATCCCCATCTCCTTGTATTCAGGCCCTCGTGTCATACGCAGCCCTTGAATCTGCACTCTGTGGATCGACTCTCTTCCAGTGAGGACAACATGACAGAAGGAGTGGGATGGCCCATCCAATATTAGGTCATATAAAGACTGTGGCCTCCATATTGTGCATTCAGCCTTGCTCCTCTGTGCTTCCTCACACTGAGGGAAGCCATCTGCCATGTCATTAGCTGCCATACAGTGAGGTCTGCATGCAGAGATCTGATACCTCCTGCCAAGAGCCATGTGAGTGAGCTTGAGAGCAGAGTGACACCCACATACGCACACACAAGGGCCCCAGTTAAGCCTGGAGATACCCGCAGGCCTGGCCAACCTCTTCACTGCAGCCTTGTGAGAAACCCTGAGCCATAGGACACCGCTTCATTACACCTGGATTCCTGACCCACAGACACTGTGATGTAAGTGTTGTTTTAAGCCCATAATTTCAGGGGTCATTTGTTACACAGCAATAGATCACTAATAATAAAGGATCACATTCAAATTTCAGGAAATTTGTCCTTTAGGAATATGACAATTGAGTGGATTTATCAATAGTGTGTCTGGAAACTTTTTTTTAAACCTCTGGCTTAGAGTTATAGAACTTCTCTTTAGAAATCAATAAATGCCGCTTACGTATTTTTATATAATAGCATTATTGAGGACAATCTTTATTTGAAAATAAAAACACTTCCCTACCCTGGTCTCCCTGTACTTACCAAGGAGCTGAGAGGATGACAGAGAACTCTAACAACACTGGCATCGGAAGCTGGACATGCCAAAGCAACCTATCGGTAGCAGAAGGTTCCATAGATTTTCAGGTGGAAACCAAGTTGTTTGCTTGATGGGACTCTGGGGATTCCTTTGCTGCAGAAGTGACCTCAATCCCATAAGCAGAGAGATCCAGGTAGAGGTTGTGGGCTTGGGTTTCTAGTGTGGGCACCTGGAGAGGGTAACAGATTAGGGAAGTTGTGAAGAAAAAGAATTACATGGCAGTGCTTTCTGGTTGATGCTGACCCCGGGTCTAGCATGGATTAACTCACACGGTTATTGCTTTTTATCTCAACCAGCATGGACTGAGTGCCTAGTATGTGCTAGGCATGGTGTTATGCTCTGGGTGTAGCAAGATAAAAAGGGTGCAATCTCTAACTGTGAGTCTAGGCCCAAATCCAATAGTTGAAGGTACCATATGATACAGTAGATGCTTAAGTTCCAATTGTGACTGCTACACGAGCCAAACTGTGTTATCTTATGTATTCGTTCTAGGCACCCATAACAAAATAGCACAGACTGAATGGCTTAAATAACAAAAATTAATTTTCTTACAGTTTTGGAGGTTGGAAGTCCAGGGTCAAGGTCCTGGTGGTGGTGGTTTCTTCCGAGGCCTCCCTCCTCAGCTTGCAGATAGCCGCCTTCTCATTATGTCCTCAGATGGGCTTCCCTCTCCATGGGTCTGTGTCGCTCTCCTTATAGGACACAGTCACATTGTATTAGAGCCACACGCATGACCTCCTTTTACCTTAATTACCTCTTTAAATACTCAATCTTCAAATGCAGTTGCAATCTGAGGTACTGGGGGTTAGACTTCAATATATAAATTGGTGGGGGACACAATTCAGCCTATGAAACACTTAACCTTTCTGTGCTGAAAAGTCAAAACCAGTCCAGGACTGAAAATCAGCTCCCAACTTCAAGAACAAAGCAATCTTCCCATTAATCCAGCAGGGAGAGAACACAGATAGATAACTGCAAATTCCACAGGAAACCCTTTCCCTCAAGATCATGCACCATCTGTGGAATGCCGTAAGGAATGTGCATCGTTGTTTTAGGGGTTGGAAGAAATGGTATCTTCCCATTCCCACTGCTTAGAACAGTACCTAGAAAATAATAGGAACTCAATAAAAGCTCAGCGAGTCAGTGAGTGGATGGTTATAAATATATATAAAGTAACAGTAGAGGCAGTTGGGTAATAACCAACAACTCCCATGTTCCTTGAATTCACCGAATTATTTTAATGCTTGTTTTCACAATGTTCAAATCGAACATATTCCTTTTCTTGCTTAAATTGTACCAATTACTATATCTCCTCCAATTTGTTTTTCTGATCTGTGCAACATTTAACCCATCAGGTTGCTTTTTCTACCTAAGCAACTCATGAAGTCAGAAGTTTTCTTCTCTGAGTTATTCTATACTATCTTTGAGGAGAAAATGAGCCTTTAGCTATGGTCCCAGGTTGGATTTGGAATGTAAGCCACACACTCCTTCGTAAACAGATTAATCAGTGAGTGGAATTTCTACGATTCATCCATCTCGCATGCCACTGAAGTGCTCCCACACTCTACTGAACAGGATTATCCAAAGGGCATATTAAAGCACAGGGTGCTGGTCCCCGCCCTCCACAGTATCTGACCCTGAGGCCCTGGAGTGGGTCCTGAGGAATTTCAACTAGCCTTTCATTATGCTGATGCTGCTTGTCTAGGAAACATACTTTGAGACCCGCTGAACAGACCAGGGTTTCTCAGCCTCAGCACTACTGACGTTGAACCCCAGATGATCCTTTCTTGGGGATGGCATAGGTGCTGTTCTGTGCATCACAGGATGTTCAGTAGAAATCCCTGGCCTCTACGCACTGGATGCCAATAGCACAGTTTCCTCCAAGTGTGATAGCCACAAAAGTCCCTGGGGTAAAATCATCCCCAGTTAAGAACCAAGGTTCTATAGCATTTTCCTCTACTGCTTGACTTTTCGATTCAATTGCTAATATGTATTTCTATCCAGAGCTAGAGAGATGAAGTTGCAACAATGAAAGCTAGTATTTATTAAATATGTAATGGGTACCATGCATTGGCCAAGCATCTTGTATATATTATCCAAACTAATTCCTACAATACACTTTGAAGTGGGTACTAATATTAGTGACATTTTACAGTTAAGGGAACTGAGACACAGTGGAGTAAGGTAAACTATGTTGAGTAATCATATGGATCAAGATCTGATCATACACAATGTATAAAAGCCTAACAGGAAACATTATTATCCCTGTGTAAGACAAGGAAACTGAGGCTTTCAGAAGTTGGTCGCACCAAACGGTGGAACTAGCCTAGTTCCAAAACCTGTTCTCCACTCTTGCATACTTTTTTTGTTCTACTTTATTTACTTTGGGAAAAAAAACAGATGAGGACAAAAGCTGACATAACTGTAACTAAGGATTTGGGCTTTGTCCAGATTTTCAGTCATGTTATCCCTGAGTCCCTTTAAACTTGATAAGAGAGATTGTTGGTTAAAACACGAATCTGCAGAAAGACATTCCTTTGTTGGAAAGAGTTCTTGAAGTCAGATTTCTAGAGAAACTCCCTCTTTTTCTCTGAGACAAATTAATAATCAATATTCATACAATATTAGTAACTAAAGTCCAAAAGTTTATTCCTATTTACTCAAATGTCTCCTAATGTCCTTTGTCCCATGATCCATCTGGGATGCCACATTTAGCTGTCATTTCTCCTTATGTCCTTTAGACTGTGACTTTCCTTGTTTTGATTTCCCTTGACCATTTTGAGGAATGCTGATCAAGTGTCTTGTAGAATGACCTGCATCTGGGATTTCTCTGATATCTTTCTCATGATTAGTCTGGAATTATAGATGTTTGGGAAAAAGACCACAGAGGTACGGTGCCATTCCCATCACACCACATCCAGGGTGCCTACTATCACCATGACTTATCACTGTTGATGGTGTGACCTTGACCACCTGGCTGAGGTCCTGTTTGTGAGGTTTCCCCTCCTTGGAGTTATTCTCCCCTCCCCCTTTTCCATACTGTCCTCTTTAGAGGGAAGTCACTGTGTGTAGCCCACACCTAAGGAGTGGAGGTGGTGCCCCATCTCTCTGAGGGCAGAGTATCTAGGGCATTATCTGGAATCACTCTGGATATTTATACATACTTCTGTTTCCCTTACAACTCTCTGAACATAATAAAGGCATATGAAATGTCAGTTAATGAAAGAGTAAGGCAACTAACAGCTTGTTAGGGCTGGCATTTTCCACCTCTCTTTCATTTCTCCTGAGCCAAAGGTACATGAGACTTTTTTCTCTGAACTATGGACGCATTATGCGGTTAGAAGTCTTCAGGGGCAGAACCCAGGCTTAGTTGTCTTTGTGGAGTAGGGTCTGGCAGCGGTAGGGTTGAAAATGTGGAGTCTGCCAACATTTTTTTATTTGTATGTTTCTTGGCATCTCAACCCAAATTTGATCATTATTCCATTTTCTGGTTCTCAAGTTGTACTGCAGTTATGTAAGGTAATACCATGGGGGAAACTGAGAGAAGGTTACATGGCGGTGGGGGTGGGGGCAGTCTTGCAATCAGGAAAAAAAAGTGTCTAAGAAGACTCCTTCAGGGGTGATAATGAAAAGAAGTTGAGAAACATTACTCCCAAATGATGACCATGAGGTCATACCTACCCACTCTGGGAGTCTGCGCAGAATACATCATTAAAACAGGGGCCCAAGGAGTATTAGACATCTGGTCTTGTTTGCCCTTGAGAGACAAGCAAATTGAGACCAAAAGAGATGTGACTTTACCTGAGCCACTCAATGAACCCGCGGCAAACCCCATACAAGAACCAGGAGTTTCTCAAACCAAGATTAGTTCTCCTTCCAATCTCCTCTCAGCTTCAGACAAGGATCTATCAAATGGCTTTTATGCACCTGTTTTCTTGGTTACCCCCATCATTTCATCTCCACAACCTCACTAGAAGTATGTACAAACTAGAGCAAGTTGGCAAAAATAAGCAGCAGAATCCATTATGGCTCAGAGCTCGTGACCACCTTCCAAAACTTCAAGCCCCATGACTTAGCTAAGGATTTGTTAAATGTTTCAATGGTTTCTGAACAGATGGGAGACCCCGAATAGTTTAAGGTATGCACTGAGTTCCTCTAAAAAACATTTTTATAGAAGTACTCATAAAAGGGCAATCTTCCTTATACTCTGAAACTATGCAGAACAGAATTTTAATATGCAGTTACCCTTGATGAAAACCTATTACACTGGTGTGATTGCCAATGAACTTTGGATACTCTAAGTATGCATTTACAGGATCTGTCACTAGAATGAGGACATCATTAAGAATGACCAATTACCTGTTTTATTTGTCATATTAAAACTGCTCTGCTAATAAACTCAAATAGTAAGTGACTAAGAAAGTCAATAGTGGGGTAGGGGAGGCAAGGTACAAATAATGCAATTGAGCAAACAGGCATAAGGACAGGGGGAGAAAAATAAAATCCAGTAAATACAGAGAATTTTAAGTGAGCAGTACTTTAAGACCAATGTACATCATGTTCAATTAAATGAAACACAAGCCCTTTGATAAAAAGAATAATAACCCCTTACTAATCAGTGTGGCACAAAGGCAGTCATTTGAGCTTCTGTCTAGATCTGAGGTTGGCAATCTACAGTCTGCAGGTCAAATCTGCCAGCTGTCTGTTTTTGTAAAAAAAACGTTTCACTGGAACACAGCCAGGCACCTTTGTTTACATATGCCTGTGGCTGCTTTAGCGCTCCAACTGTCTTTCGGAAGGAGATAGAGCCTCTAGTGCTTGAGAAAGGGAATGTAATCAGACCCTTTGAGATTTGAATAATTTAAAAAGAGAAGCTGTCCAGTTCCAAGGTGTGGACCCATTGAGGAGAGGAGAGTGGGATCCAGCTTGAAGGGCTGGACATGGATCAGTCCGACTCCACGGGCCGGTAGGCCCCTGGGCTGGTGATGCTGAATAAGGGCTGAAAGGCCTGGCCGCTAGGAGCCACCCGAGTGAGTTCAGAGAAGCTGGTGCTGGCGGAAGGAGGACCGCCCGCCCCGAGGAGCCCCTCCGGGGGTCAGCCCAGCCTGTGCAGCCACTCTCTGTGGCTTCTGGGAAGCCCCTGCGCTGGCTGGCTCTGTGCACCTCGTGGGCCACAGCAAACTCTCCCGCCAGCAAGAAACAGCAGAAGAGACAGGCTGCCCACGTTCCAATTCTCTCCCTGCCTGTGGGTGTACACTCAGTTTAACTTTATATTCCAGAAATGAAGCTAGAGACATTCTTTTTCCTGTCAAATGAGTGACTCAGGAGGACTCAGCCTTATGTGGTCGCACGAGACTGCCCCACTTTGGGCGTCAGCCACCAACAGGGTGGCCAGGAACTGACATTTTTTATTGAGCTACTACAGATTGGGGGGCTCCCATGAACCCCTCGCAGGTTCAGCATTCAGGAAAACGGCTCACAGAACCCTGGAGGACCTCACGTATGTGGCATGGTGTTAAACTAATTAAGCAAGGAGGCTGTTAGATTGGTGTGGCTCTAACGCCATGGCAGTTTTACTTCAGCAAACCAAAATTGAAGCCTGTAAATGCCTCAAGGTTACAAAATCGAACATTAACGACAACCAATCGCATAGGCCAACCAGGCTTCAAGCCCCAGCCAATCAATAACTGCCTTGCTTTGCTCCCAGCTTTTCCCTGAAAAAGGCCTCTCCCTGAGCTCACATTGGTGGGGTGCATCTGCTCCAATTCTGGATTGCTGCTACCCAATTCCAGTCCATTTTTGCTCAAATAAACTCTTTAAGATGTTTTTAATATGCCTCAGTTTATCGTTGAATAGTTGTGGTGTCAGAGGGGAACCAAGGGCGACCCCAACAGCCCCCAGGAGCAGTGAGCCACCAGGCAGACGTACCTGCTGAGCCACGAGAGCTTGCGGCATCCTCGCTGACCCAGCAGGTGACGGGCAGGTCCCTCCTGCACCCTAGACCCAACTCACCAGGTTCTGCTCATGAGCTTCCGCAAAACTGGAGCACCTCTTTTTCTGGAGTGGGTCCAAAAACCGGCTAGAGTTGGACTGGGTAGGACTTAGAAACCGGATGGGTTCAGGGTCAGACTGGTTCCAGGCTTGGACGGTTCCGATTTAGAAGCCTGACAGGGTCCTGGGTCAGACTGATTCTGACTTAAGCCAGACCCGAGCCAGTGTGAGCCCTCAAGTGAATAAAATTTTAAGCCTGCATGAGTAGGTTCACCTTACCAAAGGTAATCCTTAATTACAGTGGCCACAGTACAGAACTTTAAACCTAGACAAGCTTATCCATTTACAAGGTGCCCTGGAGAAAAGGGGGTCAGAGGGAAAATTACTTTTTCCTCCTCTAGGTGTCTGGTGACCAGGATGAGACTTGCGGGGACACCCACTCACTCTGTAGCCGGCACTTGACTAAGTGTCAGAAGGCAGCAAAGGTAAGAATTCTTACCAATGTCACGCTCCCTAACACCTCTCTCTCTGTGGCGTCTCATGAAGGGAGAAAGGTAAAATTTCACATCATCCCTTCCTTTCCAAATTCAGATTGGCAGGAAAAAACATTAGTCATCAAAACTTTCTTTCCCAGGTCAGCTATTTCCTTCTTGTTTGTCTCATTTTGTGTCCTGAGACCTTGTCTTGGCAAACCCTCAGTTTGGGCGCCCCCAAATGTGACTGAAAACAAGTGCGGGCTGTAACCCATTTGTGGCTAGGGTCCTTGCCCAGTGTGGCCAGTTCTCAGGGAATTGTCTTTCTTTTGGTTACCTGGGAGTGTCTCTGGATCTTGGTAAACAGTATCTTTTGCACCTTCTTCGAGGACCTTCTCTGTGTCCCTTGGAAATGTTCTCTGGTACTTTCTCTGTGACCATGAGGTTGTTCAATAATGCCAGGAATATTTATTGTTTGTCCTGGGTGAAACCTGATAAGAAATCCAAAAGAATTTTTTTTTTTAAGTAGCTTTATGGTCAGAAGTTGGCCACATTGGAAGCTGGTATTAAGAACCTGATAGGAACTTTTTTAAAGGCCTTCTTCCCTACGCTAGCATGAAACTATGCACCCAGAGGGGAAGAAAACCATTCTGAAGCCTACAACATTCCAAAGACACACAGCTCTACATCTAGAACATAGGAATTTTTAAATTTCCATCTCAGTTGAGTATCTTCTCCCTAATGTAAAGAAGCAAACTAAGATAATGGATGGCTGAGTCAGAATCTTGATATGATATTCAGGTAGTAAAGAGAATCTCTGAGGAATTAAAAACAGGTGCATTTGTCTTACAAATCAAGTTTTTGCAAGAATGCAAATGCAGCCCTAGAAACCACTCCAGAAACAATTCAAAGCCCCCTATCTTTTTACGAATCCTAAAACCTCTTCTATTTATCTCAAAAGGCTTGCAGATATTATTTTACAATATCTGGATAAAATACTTGGATTTAGGCAACAAAAGCCTTCTTGGAAACATTTATATCCTTTCTCTGTGCCTTTGGGATTTCAGTGTTTGGCTTGGTCTTCTCTAGGAACCCAGAACCATCTCTTGAAATGCAAGCTACAGAGAGAAAATTCTTGTGTCAGAAAAAAAATAAAGGCATTTGAGGAATTAAGTGAATGAAAAATTTTAGAAGTCTGTTCTGCATATTTCAGGAAAAGTTTTAGCCATCTGATCAGGTAACCTTAACTTATTCTATATGCCAGAAACACAATTTGGATCAAACCGTTCTTTTATAAACTAGAGAGGTTGGCCTTACTTGTCTCATGGCTAAAGTGTTTAAATGAAAGCTATTAGATCTCTGCACCATATGTTTATGTATGTCTATGTATGTATGTTGTACATGTGTATATTTTTCTACCTCCTGATGGTATTGCCAAAATTACTTTGTAAAGAGTTCTATTTAAAGGCCTAAAGACAGATAGGCATTTATATAAATCAAGCATGCTCTCAGAAATAAAGAAACCAAATGTTTTGCGAGTTCATGTGATCTGGATAATCTTAGGAAAATAAAAGCTAGTTTAAATTTGTTGGTTTAATTAAAACAGGCATGTCTCAGCATTATCAAGCACTAAGTATAATACTTTTATTGTACCTAGGTTTACTAAAAGTCAAGTTTATGTTGTCTCTGTTACAGAATTTGTCAGATAATAGCTATTTAATATTTCATGAATTTTCATGAGCAATCTAAAAATATTTGTTAAGAACAAGTGAATTAAATAAATGTAAGATAAACATTTATATACTTTTCAGTAAGAATTAGGCTTTATTGTATGTCTACTTAAAAATAATTTCCAAAACATTTTTGATAACTTGAAACCTTAAGGTTATACTAAGATAAGTTAAATGATGGATATTCTCTGAATATTTAGATTAATTCCAAATAAGATAAAATACTGAAACATTACTGAACTTAAGTTTATCCACATTTGGCTTCCTTTTACAGAGAAACTAAGTATATTTGGGTCTATTATTAAACATTTTTTTGTGCCACACTGAAAAACTTACTGTAAGGAAGAAAATACTTTTAGAAATTATGAAATATATTTATTATTTTGCCAATCTGAAGAATGCTAGTGTAATAGTCCATAATTGCTAACTTGTTAGTTTTCACTAAAAATTAAGGATTCTAAGGGTTAAGAATTCTAGTCAATGTATGTAATAAAAACTACTTAGAAGTAATAAGGATGAAAGGAAAAAACTGTGTGTGAAAAGTGGGTGAGAAGAGAAAAATGATGGATTGTTCCAGAATGTAAAGAGGAAAAAGACCTAGGACAAAACCTAACTAGATATAAAAAAAGTTTTAGAAGGTTTATGGAAAAGGAATCTTGGAAAAGGAATTTTATGTGTGGTCACACTAAAATGAAAATGGATTTCAGTTAAGTTTCTAAAAAATGAGTTTTAACTTCAAAAGACATTGGTGCAGAATTAGAATTTCTTTTTCCCTCTGTTAAAAGGATGATGTTTTCTTGGACTATTGGCATGACCATCATAAGAGATTGTGAAAGGAACTGTTTGTTTTTTTTAATCTCTTGGCTAATCTACCTGCAGAACAGAGATGTTGTATCTTATCAAAATCATTTACTATGGTTAAGGTTGTCTTTATCAGGTCTTTGGTTACATAACATAACACAGTCTTCTCAAAAGAAAGAGTATTAAAATATTCTCAATATTCACAACTGTGTAACTTTCTGTATTTGCCTTTACAATCTCCTTTCACTATAGGGAAATAATGAAGTATTATTTCATAATGATCTGAGATCCTATTAGGTCAAATGTTCAAATCTTTATTTTTTGAATTTTGACAACCTCCCAAAATCAAATTCTAAATGAAGTCTTTTTGACCTCAAAAAAACTTTGAGATTTCATTGAGGGTCCTTGGAAAAATCTCAAGGAATGTGTCTCTTGCCCTATAAAACAGAGAGGTTAAATTAATTAGGTGCATGTGGTATATTAAATTATATAGGAAGCATTGTCAAATAAAAAGTGATAAAAAAACTTTCTTAGGTTTTATGTGAATGAATATATATTACTAATATAAACATCTAGAAATTAAGTTTCTGGAAATCTGTCAATACTCTCATTGTCCAGTTGTTCCCTTAAATTATTATATGCCACAGAAATAATTATGTTTAATTATTAGGTGAACTCTGCTCAAATCTTTAACCATGGTCTTTTTTTTTTGAGTTTTATTTTTTATTTTTGGTCAAGTACAGACAGTTATTTTACTCTGATGCTTTTGCAAAGGTACTTCATCTTCAGAGAGTTTCATGGAAAAGACTCTAACAAGTACTCTAGAATATAGCTTTCTGATAACCTTAAGGCCATAAAACTGAACTAGGTAAGGATTTCCAGAACTAATGGAAACACTGGGTTCAAACAGAACAAGAGTGAGTAATACGGGACTGCAATGAATTGTTGAGGATGATTAGAACTGCTTTTACAACTTTTCCTTTGAAAGATTACCGGTTTCTCAATGTTTTATTTTTCTAGAGACCAAAGGATAGACTAGTTACTAAGGGACTTTTGTTTGGGGTAACTGAGACTCCCACACACAATTGTCTCAAGAACTTCTATTAAGACAGCAATCCAGTTTTAGAAACAAACTGTGAAATGCAGCTAACGCTTCACCTTCTTAACTCTGCTTAATAAGCAGTGTGGACTCTGTCTTGGTGGTCTGGGCTCACAGAGGTGGTCTTTCTGACGACCCTCCCTGGGCCCTCAGCTCTCCTCACCTCCAGAAGAGGAGTCTGTAAACACTCTTTCCCAGCAGTTGAGCTGTAAAAGGCAAAGGGTCTCTGAGCAGTGTAATAAGGACTTATCTTTCCTAGATTGCCAGTATGGCAAGCATATAAATCTGTACTCTGGGAGTTTTAAATTGCCTTTCAGGGCACAGCTGAGTCTCCAAATCAGTGCAGTTTAACTATTTGCACATGTTTTGCCAGAAGTCCTTAATGGGTTGACAAACACTTGATATGGCTACAAAGTTATGCCTTAGAGTTTACATGGATTGAAACAGAGGATTCTAAACCGGAGCATATGAGGATCCTGAAACTGTGAGTGGTTTGTGTATGTGCATCCCCGTGTTTTATTGGAGGAGGGCTTGATCTTCCCTGATGGGCTTTTTGTAACCCCCACAAAATATAGGCCACTGGTTTAAAAAAAAAACCTTTCTTTTTTCCTCTTTTGCCATTCATATGTCTGCTTCCTGTTTTCTTCTGATATTGCTAAAAATTGGCCCTAGGTTGGTGTTTAGCCTGGACACTCTGGTGTGTCATGTGAATGACAAAATAGAAAATCTAGATGTATCATAATACCAGGCATCTGGCAATTGCACCAACCCTTGGCCCAAAACTCCATTCTTTTCTGCTCATCTGAGAGTTGGGAATTGTGCTGGGAGCTTTTACCTGGGTCTTAAAACACTCATTTGTGTTAAATCCATCTTGCAAATGTTTCTATATTGTATTATACCAAACTATGTGCAAGGGTATACAAAATAATTAAAGTTATCTGTAATTTCAGCGGGCCTACAGCCCCTTGAAGCTTAAGTTAAAAGAAGAGGAAATGAATATTTATTGTTTTCTTTGTGTCAGCTCCTAAAAGCATCTATTATTCTGTTTACCTCTCAGCACTCTGAGGTTGCTATTGCCCATCCCCTCAACTAGATTTTTTTTTTTTTAATCAGAAAACGAAAGCTCCGAGAATTGAAAGAACTCATCCTTGGCCACATAGAAAATAAGGGGTGAAGTGTGTTTAATAAATACCCTGTACTTGTTCTTGTTTATACAATGAAGCTCTTCTCATCCCTTTCTAAAGGAATTTGCTGAGAACGGTCAAGGAAGACCCTAGAAATTCCTTTTAAGTGTGGGAGAAGGGGACTGTTCCTATCTCAGCAGGAGAAATATCAGAGGAGAATGAGGGAGAAGAGAGATGATACAAGGACTCTTCTTTTGACCCCCCCCTCACCAGGCCACCCCATTTACTTTGAAAGGAACAGTCTACACTGAGTAGCATGGCAGCATTTTCAGAGTTGAATGGTCTGGGAAGAGGACTCTGGTTAGGCTTCCTTCTCTTCCTCTGGGAAGGAAACTGAGGCTAAAAAGAAGTGATTGACTATCAATGCAACGCAGATAATTTAATGATTAAATATTCTGTCACCCTGTGTTCACAAGTTGACACATCTCCAAAGCATATTTCTGCATATGTTGCCACTTATTAGGTTATGCCAGAAGCACACCCCCGAAGGTACATGGTCAGGACAGGGAGACTGCAGAACAGGGCTGCCCCAAAACTCAGTGCCAGGAAGTAAACCAGTGCTAATTAAACTTCTGCCTTGTGCCATACACTGTGCTTGACACATCCACACATCTCATTTTATTAATCTTCACCATAATCCTTTTGGTATAAGTATATCCAATTTTGGGGGATGACAACAAGTGTCTGAGAAGTTAAATTTGCCTTTCCTCACCTGGCAATTATTCATTGGTAGAGCCCATATGTAAACTCAGGGTGACTACTTCCTACACTTTTCCTCTAAATCAGGCAGTCTTCTAGTGTTTGTCATAGCAGGTAAGCACACAGAATTTGGGATCTGAGAGTCCGGCTACAGAGTAGCTGAGAATGCTCTCCAGGAATCTTGGCTTTTATCCTGCCCCCCTTGCAGAATCCAGCAGGTGCCTAGGGTGGAGCATGTTTGTGTGTGGAGGTGGAGGGTGGGGGGTTCCTTCCCTACCGCTGGGGAAATGTGCTCACAATAGGATGACGCAAACAATAAACAAGAACAGCTAGTATTCACTACATGCTGGTGGACATCTGTTAAGGAGCCTATGGACATTGTCTTATTCAACTCTCACAATGACATGAAGAGGCAGGTACTGTTATAATTCCCATCTACAGATGATAAAATGAGCCTTGTAGAAGTTAACTTGCCCAGTTAACTCAGACAAGGTTTCTAGTTAACTAGGAAGTAAAGAACCTTGACTCATACCTAGACTGTCCTCAGAGACTTAACTTTGCTACAATGCATGTGATGGGCAGAGCAATTATTCTTTCTGCACCCAACAACTCAACTGATAAACCACAAAAACCTTTTATTTCTGAGCAGTTCAGCCAAGTAAGTTTCATTGCCTAATAACACCACTCTTTTATTTAGAGAGCTGCCAACCTGATATAACCTCTCTGATTTTGGGTGGTTATTCATTCATTCAGGGCTTCTGCTACTTTTAATTATATGCTTGACCTTTGACCACTAAAAAGTTCATCTGACCACAAAATATTTTCTTAATGTAGAAAACTGCCAACAAATGCCAAGAGCTCTAGATCAACAGAGGCAGACATGCTTGAATTCATATCTATAGAGCTCATAAAATGTCTGCCTGTGCCCTTGGCATTTGTAAAGAGACATTTATGACCCCAACACAGTCTTTGCTATCATTGTGTTATTGCTAACATACCAATCTTAACTTGACCATCAGCTCTGATTTTTCCACTGGTAAAGAGCAACTAAAGCTTTTCATATTTTCCTCATTACTGATACTATACAAATCTTATCCCATTTAAGACACATCAACAAAAGAGGCTTTTAAGAGGCTAACACAGTATAGACCCTCAATACTTTTCAGTACAGAAAGGCAACAGGAACTTTCCATACTGGGCAGAGCAAGGGGCCATCAAAGATAGCAGGAAGCATGTGTATTATGAAGAAAGAGGATTTCCTCTCTCCAAAGCTGGAGAGTCATTTTCCAAGAATGTTCTTCTCTGAAGATGCCTCTGCATAGGGTCAGTTTCTTCTTTGGTAACATCAGATTCAGAGAAAAAAATCTTTTGAATTTTTAGGTTTTCTTCCATAAGTTCTTTACTTAAATCTCTTGACTGAGCTCTTATTCTTTTGTGATGGTGTATGGATTACTAGGCAAGTAACATGGTGGCAAATATTTGAAAGGACAGAAAGGAGGGCAGTACAAGTATGACGTTGTTTCGCTTCTGGTTAGCATTTCCCTATAATATTTGTACATGTGAGGATTGCTTCTGCTGCACTGTTCTGAGGTTGAGTCTCCACAGTCATAACCCACTCCACACATTGGAACTAGGGATGAAAGCTGGTCTCTGGGTCCTGGGTCCATGTTACTAGCATATGAAAAGATGCTTAAGACTTTGTCTCTACTTCACATGATTATTTTTCTCTGTCTTCTTCCCACCACCTTTCTTTGAATTAGTGTACACATTCTAGCTGTTAAAAATGTGTTTGTCTTTGCTACAAAGTGGGCTGCAACTTAGATGAATGCAAAGTGTGGTTACTGAAATAGTTCTCAAATGAGTTAGAGGTAATTGAAGATTATGTTTGACAAGCACAAAGAATCAAAGTAAGTTGGTCCATGAAAGTCCACTTACATACAGAAAACATTTTCTCAATTTAAAACTGATATATGCCTACTTGAGAAAGTGTGTAAAATAAGGAAAACACAAAAAGAAAATAAAATTCACCCATAAAACCCTATCACCCAAAAGTAACAGCTATTAACAACTTAATGCATTCCCTTTTAATCATATATGTTAATAGCTGCATGTCTAAATCTAGAATAGTGCCTGCTATGTTGTAAACTTCATAAATATGTGTGGTATGAGGACAAGATGATTTGTGCACTGAATGTGACCAGTGTCTGTTTTGTTTTCCATTACTGTGAAAGTTCTTTTAGTTGCAGCTATAAACATTAATCTGTTGTAAATTACTGCTGCTTGGTACTTGATTTCCTTTAGGTGTTTGACCTTGATAACCTGTTCTCTAGACTTATATACCTAAATATGATAGTACGTGTTAATAGTGCTAATAGATTGATTAAATGATATAGCCAATTTGTTTTTAATCTGTAGTGTGACACCAGAAGGAAGTGGTAGCATGGGGTGTCAGAACACAGACCCTAGAATCATCCAGATACGGATTCTAATCCTGGCTCTGCAACTTCCAGCCTGTGTAACCTGAACAAATTATTTAATCTCTTAGAGCCCTAATTTCCTCATAGTTAAAAATGACACAGTAAAAAGCTACATCATATAATTATTGTGAGATGAAAATATGTACAAAGAAAAACATCAGATAAATTTGAGTTAGCACATAGAGGACTCAGAAAATTCTTTTAAAAAAATCATGGTTTATCATGACATTTTAGTTTTTGTAAGTGAAAAACCCATACTGTTATAAGGGTAAATGGTAGCCTGGCTTTTTTCCCCCAAATGATATCATGCTAAAAGACAATAAATACTAAAATTGACAGTGTTCCCTCTTCAAATGGAAACACTAGGGCTGATATTGACTGCTCATTCTGGCTAAATCGACACTTTGGAAAATTGCTGTCATTTTAATCTTCTTCTCGTTGTTTGAGTATTCAGGAAATTTCTTTCCTCAGAGCCTCCTGATACTTGATTTTTGAGTAGTTGCTTCTAAAAAGAGAAAGGCCCTTTTCTCCCCAGTTTTTGGAAATCAGTTTGCCGCCAGTGATGATAATTGTCATTTCTAAGCCTCTTCTATGAGGAACAGGCTGGGCAATGCCCTTCTACCTGTATTGTCTCATGAAATCGTCACAAACACTTTAATGAAGAAGTATTATTCCACTTCCCAGACTTCTCAAACATTACCTGCATTTCATAATGAGTGAACCCAGTCAGCTTGTGAATTGCTTGCTCCCTGTCTACCATTGCAAGACAAGGAGAGAGAAGACAGTCACGTCCATCCACTGGCCCTGGTGTTGGGAGGGGTCCTGAGGTCAGCTGGTATTGGGGGGTCAAGAGGCTAAGCCGGGGGGCAGTCTATTTTCCCAGCCCCTCCTCACCTTGGTGCGCAGAAGGCGGTGGAAGCCAGGCCTCTACCCCTTCCTCTCCAGGAGGCTGAGCTCCTGGAAGACTCGCACGCGGGTGGAAAAGAGCCCTCCGTGTGGTCGAAGTCCACCCCCAGCGGCCTGAGGATGCGGACGCTGCTTGCACCGTCAGCTTCAGCACCAGGTCCGCGCGGACAGCGACGAGCACGGAGGCCCACCCCACCCTCAGCCCCGCAGCCACTTCCTCGACCGCCCTCAGGTGCCAGGTCGAGCCCGGCCTGCCGGGCTGTCACTGGGGATCCTGCACAGCTGCGGCCGCCCCAGGGCAGGGCGACACCCCTCCGGCCTCAACACACCGCCCGTCTTGTGGCCTTTCTCGGGGCCGTTAGGGGTGTCTGCGGAGAGACGGCCCCAACACACAAAATGCTCCAAAAGTGGTTGAGGATGAGTATAGCCCTTCATCCGGCTGAGGGCTCAGGTCACCCTTGGAGTCTGTCCTTTTGATGTCACTTCTTGAGACCTTCTAAAACCCCTTAGTGTATCCCCTGCTTTATTTTGAAATACGTTTGTCTGGATTTGTAATTATATCGTCTTTTGATAACGTTGTAATTAATGCCGTTCTCCAGCTGTTTTGTTCTTCATGGGTGTTCCCAGTTCTGAGCACAGCCTGGATTTGTGTAACCCAAATGAATATAGCAAATTTAATAACAGTGTTACCTGCTACCTGTGAAGCTTCTTCCAAGCACACCCCCCATCACCACCACCATCCTAGTCTTTTTCTTAGCTTAATAAAAGAACTAATACTTGTCAAATCAACCATTACCAAAAGCAAATTTTTTAACTCTGTATTTTTAAATCTAACAATTTTCTATGGTAAATATTATGAACCCTCCTACATTATTGTTTTACTTTTATTGATCTATTTACAAATTGGGAAAGTATTCAGCAGGGTAAAATGACTTGCTCCAGGTCACAGAGCTAGTGGGCATGGATGCTGGCATTCGAACGCAGGACTAACTGACTCCAAAGTTAGTGATCTTGCAAAGCATGCCGCCTCTTCCATTTGTACAGTCCTCTTGGAAATCAGCACCATAATGCAAAGTATCTAAAGTTATTCCTACCCTTTGATGCAAATTCCACTTCTGGGAATCTGTCTTAACAGGGAAAACACCTCAAGTAGAAACAAATAATAATCACCACAGAAACGTTCATTACAGCAGCCTTTAGAATGACAAATCCAACACTACGTGAAAACAAACTCACGCACACATTCTCTCTCTTCCTTTCCCCCTCTCTTATTCCTTCCCTCCCCTCCTCACCCTCTTTCCTTGCCTCCCTCTCTGCCCCATCTTTTCTCATCACAGCTTATCATTGTTTTCCTTGATTCGGCACCCTGCGTCATCTGGAGGGGAAGAACTCTGCCTGAAGCCCTAAATCCACTTTGTCCCAATTTAGCATCTCCAGCAGAAAAAGAGTTTCATTGCCCCCAGTGTCAGCCAGCAACCGCTGGAACATTCTGATTGGCTTCACTTGGGCTGTGGATGCCTCCCTGAACCAGTCTCACGAGGAATAGAAGTGTCAGCCCTGTGTGTGCATGTAGTTTTGATTATTAGTGCATATTGCATTTGGTGTTTCTTTGCAGGAATTTATTTAAATCATAGCCCTTTTTGTGGGTGTCATTTTTGGTAAAACTCAGTAACAGTAATCTGTAAATGTACTTAACTTCCATAAGTAATTAGAGGTATAGTATTTTCTTCTTAGACTCCGATGAATGTCTTGCTCTCCACTTGTGTGCTAGGTTGTAATATCCTTGCATGTGAGGCACGTAACTTACTTCGTTTCTGTACATCCATATTGCCGAGCATGGGGCTTATTTGTGCATAGGTGCCCTTTGAGTTTCTTACATCAGATGAAATTAGCTACCTAACTAGCTAAATTTGTGGGCCTCTTCATTCATTAGATGTGTTTTATTTGGTGAAGAAATGAAAGTTTTCACTGATCTGAGAGCCAAAAAGACTGTACCTTTATTTCTAGTTCAATAAATGCTATTCAGCAATGCTAGGGAAGAGAAAAGAACCACTGAACCTTGCAATAAGTCTGCCTTCCAGTCACTAATTTGAGTCTCTATTATTGATGGGTCCTTTAACCTAATTGATTTTGACATTGTACCTCATTTAATGATATGGATGAAAACATCTGTGGTAGGTGGACAAACTGATGTCAGTGTTGTTCTTCACCCAGACAAACTGTAGATCCTACCCTTGACTTTTGGGTTAAAGGAAGCAAAGTGTTCTGAAATCCATCACAGACTATCTCTGGTGTTAAAAAAGAGAGAAAGGAGAGAAGGAAGGAGGGAAGGAGAGGGAGGAAGCCCAGATGGAGTCATTTGCCTCCCAAACTAAGACTTTATTACAGTTTCAACCTAGTCCTTGTATGTAGTCTTAACAGTCACTAAGGCATTTTCTGGTCAACACCAACGAGGGAACGTGTTGCCTGAGCCTTCTCCATCAGGCGCCCCACCACCACCAAAAGAAGAAGAAAAGGTAATTTACATAATACTACTTATACTTCCCCCTCAGGGAAGATGTCCTTACCTGAAACAATCCTTTCTTTTCTTTTTCTGTTAATTTCTTGCCCCGTCCTCCTTCCTATTAAAACCTTCCCTTTGTACAGTTCCTCACGGCATCTTTCTACTTGCTAGAGGGGATGCTTCCTGATTCATAAATTGCTCACTAAAGCCAATTGGATCTTCAAATGTACTTGGTTGAATTTTGTTTTTTAACACTGGACGAGTAACTAAAGCTTTAGGGCCTTGCTGTCAGACTGTGGTGTGTGGTCTAGTACTGTTGATTTTGGAAGCTTTTAGAAATGCAGAATCTGGGGCCTCAGCTCAGAGCTATGGCAACTGCAATTTAGCGAGGGTCCCAGATGATCATAAGCACAAAAAAGTTTGAGAAGCACTGCTGTAGAGATTCTAATAAGCTGCCTGGTAAAGCTTGTAGTGTCCTGACCGTCTGGCTTTGAATATAAGCCAGGGATGACAATCATGTGATACAAATGTTGATGTCCTCCTATCATGACCTGTGAGAGACATTGCTGATTGCTCATGGTGTGCTCCACCAAGCTTCAGGATGATTCTTCATACAGTATAGTCCAGGCAATTTTCATGAAGACGTAAAAGTTGACCTAAGAGATAAGACCTATTTCTCACTCTTGCTGAAGACCAATCGTTGTTTGCTAAATAGTGCCTAACAAGCAAAAGAGAGGAAAGGGAAGTCTAGCTTAGTGAATAGTGCAGGTGTGACTTGGTTGATATTGGCTTAGCAATAAAGCCATGGGTTTGACCCTAGGAAAGCCAAATAATCTTTTAATCTATTCTTTCCAGTCTTGCTGTCTCCCATGTTTGCTTCCTAACTCATTTTAAATGATTTCCCCTCACTCATCTTCATCCATTCCTTTGAATTAAGCTTACTCTCTTGATCTTCCAGGTTGGGGTGCTTGGGAGGAGAATCATCTTATCTAACCCAGCCTCCTAGGGACACAAACTCTGACACTGACTTGTGTGAATCTGCTTGTTTTATTCAGCCTTTCAAGAACCTCAGATTGAATGGCTTGTGAAGGTGAATTGTTTGCCCAAATTACCCCAGATAAGGGAAACTGGGAGGATAAATTGGAGTCAACTTACAATGCCTACTTGAGCAGGCTTGACCTTGTCACAGCTCCCCCATAGTTGCTAAGGATGTAGGATCTGAGTCACAACCCCACTACTTCTGGCATGTGATTAAGGGCAAGTTACCGCATCCCTCTTCAGTGCATTCTTCTGTGAAATGAAAATTCTAGAGTCTAATTCCCAGGATTGTTCTGGAGATGAATGAAAATTACATGAAATTCAGCACAACACCTAGAATATGATGAGAATGAACTACCTTTAATGTCTACTAATTTCATCATTGTTATAATCTTTAAGGAGATTATGATTGTGTTGGAGTGGGGAGTAGACCAGGGTCAGTCAAAAATAATTTCCAGTACAATTTTCATTTTAAAGTTTTCCTTCTCCCTCCAGACTTTACTCTATTGTCGGGTAAGATAATTCTCCTAGTGCTTCTAAATCACCAGTTTGATAAAATCCTGGGAATTTTTTCCCTCAGACTGTGCCAAGTTTGATATAAGTCAACGTAGTTTGAATAACTATAATCAGCATCCAAATGCATCCACATTTATCAGAATTCAGGCTTTATTATTCTACAATGAAAAGAACTAAAACTTAATTCCAAGCACGTATAGTTAAAATTTGCACAGAAGGATGTTCACAAAACACATTCAATATTTAAAGAAGAGAAAAGACCTTTATTTGAAGGACAACATATACTTAGAATTGTTGGCTTCTAAGAAGCCCATTTCCCCCAAACCTAAACTTTGTAATTTCATATTAAGCCATGAAATTATTTACACAATCTAGTTAAACTATGTAATGTGAATAGCATTTGACAGAATAGAATATTGCATAGACATGTCTCCAGAATAGTATTATTTAAATCTCATTTTCAACCTCCAGAGATAGACTGCCCATAATAGACTTAAATAGATGATTTTGAAGTATATGTAAATATATAAAGTATGCAAAAAAAGGAAATTAACACATAAAGTCCACCCTCAATTTCATCAAAGAGGTTAAGGATGCTAAAGCAAGGGAAAAAAAAATACTTTTTTTCCCCTATTTTTTTCCCCATCCATTCTGCCACTCTGTTCTGCCTTAGGGTTAACCATTCACGTCAGAAATTGTAATATAATGCTGGGAGTGGAAAGTGATCAAATATGCTGACTTACTATTTCTTTTTAGACCCTTGGCTGGACATTTCCAAAAGCGGGGTATGTGTGTGGTGGGTTGAAAAAACCAGTTACATCAGAATATTTCTGAAACATTCAAAGCCTGATGTGACAGACCAGATTAAAGTCCCACCAAGAGATGCAGCTACTCAAAGAAAGGGTAATGGGAAACAAGGTGCCATGGCTAGGACTAAGCATTGGACTGAAAACGTTTTGGATTATATAGCTCCTGGAATCTCTGATTTAAAGAATTATCATACATTAAATATGTGCTACAGTTTCAAGAGAAAAATCTTCCAGGTAACCTAAACTTTCTTTTTTTTGGCTGTTGTACTTTTAACCCAGACTTGTTCAATACAAGTGAGAGGAATTAAGAAAGGAGAGATTTTGACATCTATTGTGAAGCAGCCACCTTAACGGTGTGCACATGCTAGATCATTATTTCCTAATACCTCATACCCAGTGGAGGGCAAAATCACAATGAAATATAGTAGCAAAATTGGCTAAATCTTGTATTCCTATGGACACAGACTCCTGTGTGACAATTTTGACTCATTCTTGGGCACCATCAGCGTATACATCATGACCACTCTTGCTTGGAAGACATATTTAAGAAGGATCTACTGAGGAATGATGAACTCACATATATACCTCTTGCTGCTACGACAGACCTCGTCACTCCATTTGCCCTGAGCTGACTGGGAGAACAGTGCACAGTTTTCCCGCTTACCACCATTAGGCTGTGCACGGTCCCAGTTGAGGAAGGAGATGGCAACTCCGTTGACATCAACAAACTTGCCTTCTGTGACCATATCGTTGATGCCCAGCCAAAAGTCATTGACACCGGGCAGACTCCTTTTACCATAGTCTCGGAGAGCATTGATCTCATCAGAGTTTCTGGGGATAACCAGGGTCCCTCCCTTGGAAATGCAGTCTTCATTAGCTTCATGGAATTGCTTCAAGCCCTCTGAAGCAAGGTAGCATTTCTTGTGAACTTTTGTGCCTCGGAGACAGACTGCAAAGATGCAAAATTTGACATATTAAGATGCTTTTTGAGTGTAATGCATCCAGGACCAGAGATGACAAATAGCAGTAAGTATTTGTGGAATGAATGATGTGTGATGATGACAAGTTAACATTGGAGATTTTGTTTGTGTCAGACACTGTGCCCAGCACTTTACATAAATGAACTCATATAATAATCACAACAATCCCAAGAAGTACGATTTTATCACTCCCATCTTTATGTATCAGGATACTGAGGCTTTAGAGAAGTTACTTGTAACAATTTAGCATGTGAAATGTAATTTACATAACATATAAAGTCACAATTACATATATATATGTTTGCTAGTTTTTGTAGCTCCATTATGTGCTGAATTTCCTTAGGACTTTGCAATTGGATGGTATTTCATACCTATTAAAAAACAAACAAAAACTAAATTCTTGAGTTTGCATGTGGAGAGACTGGTTTTCAGCCCTGATAGTATCATTTAAGTTATCTAGAAAAAAACAAACATACAGATAGTTTTAGGGCAAACCTTTGGAAAATCAGGCTCTGACATTTGCTAGCTGTGTAAACACTGGAGGAATTATTTAAATTTCCCTGCGCCTCAGCTGCCTCACATGTCAAATAAGGATAATCATAATGGCACCCGCCTCATAAATTGTTGGAGGATAAAGGTGTTAACGTTTCTAAAGAATTTATAGCCCCTGACTGTGGGTAAAGGGTTAATGAAACTTTCCTCTTTTCTAAAACTCTTTCCGCATCTGCGTGCACATTTAACTTTCTAATTCTGTAACCTGGAAACCTGATAAAGGGAATGCGTCACCAGTGTCACCAGGCCACATTGCTTATGGTAAAAATGCCCTTGAACTGGTACTACATGGTGTCTGGGAGTTGTAAGTCCTGGATAGGAAGCCGTAACTGTAACTTTGGTCTTCCCTGGAGGTGGTAACTCCTGTAATGGGGCAGGTCTCTTGGGTGACTCTCAAAGCACTGCTTTTGGAGCTGGTGTGTGAGGTGTTGGGTCCTGGGGTTTGGAGCCTTGAAAGGCAGGGCTGTTCCTGAACCCACCTAGCATGACTCTCATTTCCTCCTGGTGGGAGCCAAGGAGAGTGGCTCCTGGACAAGAGCTGTAGGCTGCTGGGAGAGTTATGAAAGATAAATGGCAGGTGCTGCCCTTCGTTGGCAAGCTATGCTTCCAACCACAGTCCTGTGCGCATCTGATGCCAATTGTGGCCAGAGTGAGTCCTGTGACCCTGTGTTTAGTTGGACCTCAACAGGCACTTAGTAAACATCTAATGAATGCTAATTCTTTTAGTTAACACTTGTTTCAATTCTGTTTCATTGCCTATTAGAGAAGAATTATGAACAGATTTTTTAAATGCATTTTGGATCATTTCTCCTGAACACATCTCTGGTTTGTCAAGGTCTCTTTTAAGAAGAGGTCGCCTAACTTGACATGTACTCTGGGTAGGGTTTGAGTTGCTGGCAAATCACAATCTCTTGTGCTCTCGCTTGTGCGACAGGTGCCAATGAGATGGGGTCTCACCTGTCTGCAGGGCTTGCATCTCCTTCAGGGCATTGACTTCTCTCCAGAGCTTTTCAATTTGAGTCTTCAGGTCTCCATCCTTTTCTGGGATATTTTAGGGTGGGATGGGATAGGAAGAATGAAATGCACAAAATTAAAATAAGATAAAAATGAAACTTTGGAATCCAGAATCTGAGGTGTAGGTGGTTTTGCTGTAACAACCCAGGGTACATGAAGAGTAAGTACTACATGGAAGCGAGCTGGCCAGGAAGGTTTGTGAGGGCTTAGGCTGTAATACTAAGGTCCTTCTGTGAGGTAGGGCTCCCATCTCTGGCTCCAGCCCCATCCTGGGGGACTCTCCCTCCATCAGGCTTCAGACCCATTGACTTCCAGATACGTGTTAGAGCAAGGACCCTTTCCCCTGGGTGCCTTGTGCCTGGAACACACTTGCTCCAGCTCTTGTCTGTCTCTTTATCGAGCCTAAAAATCTCCTCTGCTGAGAAGCCCTCTCTGATTGTCCTCTCTATATCCCTCTGGATAATCTCTCTCCTTGAACTTTTATTTTTCTTCAGAGCACTTTCTTCAATCTGTAATGATTTTACTTCATTTATTTAATTTCATCTGTTTTGTTATCCCTGGTACTCCTGTTGCTTAACATGATGTTTGGCATATAATAGGGGCTTACAGTGTTTGTTGAGTGAATAAACAAAACTCCAGACCTGATGAGGATTGTCTTAGAGATTGACAGCTTGTGAGCATTTCAAAGGCAAAAATTGCAATAAATCATAATAATAAAAATAAAAAAATATTAAAATCCACCATACACTGCACTAGAAGCCTAATTCTTATGAAATAGACACTAAGTGATAGTGACCCCCAGTTCACAGAAGAAATATAGGCCGGAAAGCCAAAGGTCACCCAGCTGGTAAGGTGCAGAATTAGGATTTGACTGTAAATCTGCTCTCTTCTTATCCCTCTGATCTGTTTCTGCACAGTGATTGCCTTTACCTGCTTGGTCCCTTGCACATGACCTAGGACAGAGAAGATGCTTAAAGCTTGATATGAACTGTCCCCAGCTGTGTCTTCATGGGGATGCCATATAGAGAGACTGTGTGCTGTCCTGCAGGTTTCAGTATGGTCCCAAATCCAAACATGCTGATTCACCATCCCCTTAAACATGTGCTTGGCAAGCCAGGTGTTTCCACATTTGGGTTAGGAAAATGCCTTCTGGTGTATCCAGGGGTGGATCCCCTTGCTGTTTCACCTGATACTGCTCATCAGTTCTCGAAGCATGCAATAGCTCAGCTCAGATATACAATAAAGCAAGGATTTCCTCAATGGGACGTTTCAATCCAGGATAAATAATAAGGGCACATTCAGGATGCAAAACCATGGGCTACTGGCGGCCAGACTTTAAAGATTTCTGAGGACTTGCTTCCAAGTGACAAGTTGTCAGCCACACAGATGTCATGCCTGTCTCTCTCAGCTTCCTGCACCATTGTATCTAAATAAGAGGCCTCCACAGAGAAGCTGTAAACATTGTAAGAAACATGAAGACACATGAATTAATATTAGGCTCCTGGGAGATCATTATGGAAGTCACTATCCAGGTGGCTTGGCTTCTGCTTCTATTCTTTGTGACAAATGTGGATGTATTTTGTCTACAATGAATACAGAGAGTAACCATTTCACTGTAAAGGTTATATTTTATTCATTTCTACAATACATAGTTTGTTGAGACATACAAAGTAAATACCAGTTTGAAGTGGAATTACCCAATTGCCATTTTGAGTTAAAGAAAAAAAAAAGCTCCTTTTTTATTTTATTATTGCTGTTCTCCAAAAGTAGGTACAAAGTGAAAAAAACAGGTATAGAAATGCAAAAATAATTCCCAGAAGATAGGACCAGTATGCATATGAAAAATATCTCAACCTCATTAACAATAAAAAAAATGCAGATTTTACAAAGCTTCTGTGTCTTGGTTAGGTTGGTAGGACTTAAACCTTTGATATGTTAGGTTGTCAAGGTGTGTGAACTTGAGCACTCATACAGAGGAGGGGAACACGGGTTCTGATGCCATCATTTTGGGAGACAATTCAAAAGTGTGATTAAAAGGGTATGTGCACAAAGCAGTTCACTGAGACTTCGGATCAAAAAGAGCTGGATTAGAAACCACACAGCAGTTCATCAAGACAGGACAGATTAAATAAATTGTCCACATGGTGGAATATTATGCAGCTGTTAAAAGGACTTAGGTATGCCTTATGTTGGTGGTATCCAAGATTTTATAGATGAAGTGAATTAATTTGCCTACCCAAACTTTATATAGCCAATTCTCACTTTGTTAAAAATGTCAAGTTTTAATATACATTAAAAAAATGGGAATATTATCTCCCAACAGTTAATGATGGGTAATATCTATGGATTAAGAGACACAAAATAGCTTCCACTTTTGATTTCATAAACTTAGGTATTATTTTCCGGTACTTAAAATATTTTACAAGGGTGTGGGTGAGTGGGGAAAAACATTTGGCCAGGTTAGGTTTATTGTTTCACCTACCATAGAATCTATTTTCTTGGACCTATTGGCAAAATTAGCAAAAACTGCTTTGGGAGGATGATATTTAAGAGGTGTACCCATTCGGTTAAAAAGCACAAACAAAAGCCCGTGTGCGAACTTGTGTGTGCATGTGTGTGTGAGCTCTGTATTACCTGAACTGCCATCACCTCAGAAGCAACTGCACAGCACACACACGCACACACACAGTCCCATATTCACCCTCCTCTCACTTCCCTCTGGGTGGTTACCCCTTTGCCACTCCCTCCCAGTGGTGAAGAAACGCTGGCAATAAGAATCTGCCACATCACCGGGCATGTTCTCTCTCGCTCCTTCCCCTGCCTTCCTCTTTAGCAATATACTTTATCATTCATGACAAATATTTTAATCTTTCACTAAAAGAGGCCATAGGGAAGTATGACAGTTTTATATGGAAAAAAGCTTCTACTTAGAAAAGCTTGCACCAGACTTCAGTTGTGTAAATAAGTACCCCAAGAAAGGGCACTTTATAATCATCAAAAACACTACAGAAGACAAGCCTCCTTGGTGTCCACCAGCCCTCTGTATTGTGTCAAACCAAGACTTTAACCTTGTTGGTGTGTTTTGTGTGCTTTGTTACGAATGAGATGCAATTGTTAAAGAAGTAGTGTCATAATATTTACCTTGAAATATCCTGATATGAAAATGACTCAGAGGATGAGATAAAATACCACCCCATCTTTCCTGATGCTCTTTCCTTTGGCTTTGATTTCAACATATTGCAAAAAAAAAAAATTGCCATCATCTTTGTTCTTTTATTTTTTTACCTTCTAACCTGATTCAAGCTATCCAAACTTTCAAGATGGCTTGGAGATTCAGTTTTGCATTAAAATACCTTCAAAAGCTATACATCTTTCCGTGCTGAAATAGTACTAAGTTCAACTAAGTGGGAGGTTTAATTTCCCTATGACATGAGAAGGCTTAATATATATAGTACAGACTGTCTTATATTGCTAGGGATGTAAAAATACACCTACATGATAACCAGTGACAAAACAGAAGCCATATTACTACTAACTTTACTCCCTGCTATATATATAATAAGCTTATATTATCTTACAAATATACTAGAACAGTAATACAATGTCTACTAGTGAAACAGTGTACTCTATTATAATCAATCTGTTCTACTTGGTCCCTCATTCATAATACCAGATATCCATGTATCCAGGTTAGCTTCCTCAGAAGAACATTCTGCACGTTTAAGCCCACCTAACAAAGGATATACAATACAGAAATTTTTTATGAGAGCTTTCTTTATTCTGGTTTTTAAAAAGCCCTAACACATGATTTCTTTAAATATCAAACTGTCCCAGAGAATTAGAAGGTTACTCAGTCCCCTGAAATGCCATACCCACATGATGGCATGGCACAGTCACCGGGGACAGGGTCCTGGAGGAGTTCGGAAATGAAGATTGCCTAGTCCCTCCCCACACTGAGCAAGCCTAGAATTTTCCTGGACTGGGAAGCCCCATACCTTTCACTCGGCGTTTGCTGTGCTTCCTGGCTTTGAATTTGGATGGGTGGCTGGTGGTCTGGTCCAGGAGTAAGGTGATAACCAGGAGGTAAATTACAAGTCCATTCTTTGCCATGGCTCTTGGGCAAGCCTGACGGCCACTTTACCAGCTCCTCTGAAGTAGCTGAGGGGCAAGTAGACTGCCCAGGCACCTCTTGCTCTGGAATGCCCGGGGCCAGCTTTATAAAAGTGCACTGTGGAGATTGGCTGGAATCCTGCTGACGAAATGTTTGACTGTCCCTGCTGGCCACAGCATGAGGCGGCCCCTTGTTCTCATGTCTCATGTTAGACATTTTTTAAAAAGTCTCTGTTTCCTACTTGACTTTCCTATTCAGAGTGTATCAGAGTTAACTAAGGGACTAAGGGCTTGCCTCCTTTCTTTTCTTTTTTTTTTTTTTTTAATTTAAAGTCCAGGAAGCTTGAGGTCTCCCTGTGAGGACCTCAGTGTTTAAGTCTTTGATTTGAAGCTCTGAAGTCCCCCTAATATTCTGGGAAATATATTCAATTCAGTTTTCATGGCAAAAACAAATGACACACACACAAAACTAGGGAAGTTACTGCGTGTGCGTGTGTGTGTGCGTGTGTGTGTGTGGTGCCAGAGTACCACTTAGGTGTCTATACACACTCATGTATCTACACAGCTGAAATGGAGCTTGGGAATGGCTTGCTCATGAGCGAATAGTGGACTACTTAAGTGGATTGCCTGTGAGAAAGTTAGAGCCTCCTATTAGGGTTTTGCGGGTTGATTAAAAATCACAATCTTGAGGAAATGCACATTAGAATGAAATACTAAGATGGTGAACTATTTCCATAAGAATTAATGTAAAATATCAACTGTCGTTACCTTACAGATCCCCACCACCCAACAATTTTTTCCTTGAAATCACCCTAAACACTTAAAAAACACTTTCAAAGGAAATACAGGAAAAAACACAATGAAAGACTTTCACTCATGTATCTACACAGCTGAAATGGAGCTTGGGAATGGCTTGCTCATGAGCGAATAGTGGACTACTTAAGTGGATTGCCTGTGAGAAAGTTAGAGCCTCCTATTAGGGTTTTGCGGGTTGATTAAAAATCACAATCTTGAGGAAATGCACATTAGAATGAAATACTAAGATGGTGAACTATTTCCATAAGAATTAATGTAAAATATCAACTGTCGTTACCTTACAGATCCCCACCACCCAACAATTTTTTCCTTGAAATCACCCTAAACACTTAAAAAACACTTTCAAAGGAAATACAGGAAAAAACACAATGAAAGACTTGGTATAATTATTCTTACCCTAACAATGGGCATTAAGGACAGTGCTGGGGACTGGACAGGTTTTGGATAAAAACAAGGGACTTCTACACAGGTACAACCAGAATGGACTGAGTGGGATCTCGGGCATCAGGCCTCAGTGAACTGACTCCATCCCCATTTTTATCTGGATGACCAGGTACATACAAGTAGGGGCAGGGCTCAGAGATTTTTGGAAGGTCTGAAAAACTAAACTCATTTTATCTTTTTATTTTTGTTTTTTGAGGTAATACAGGAAGAATCAAGGGGTGATTGATCCCTTCTGGATCTTAGTGAGGAAAGCCACAGTCTAATCCATCTTGGTTTCCTTCCTGAGCCCTCTCCGTCACCGTTAATGTGTCCATCACTCCCTCAGTGGGCCGCTTCCTGGACCTGGGGGTCATCCGGGAGACCTCCCACCTTTGCCCTCAGTGCCCCGCCTCACGACCTCGTCAACAGCAAGAGCTGTGTTTCCTGCCTCCGCCTACATTCTCCCCTCCCTGCCGTTATCCCACTTACGTCACCAAAAGCTCCATGCTCACCCATCTCACATTGCTCCCACCTAACTCAAGAGAATGCTTCCCATATCACTAATGGGATTGTCCCTCTCCTGCTTAAAACCCTCCAAATCTTTCCATTGTTCTTAAAATGAAACCTAGATTTCTCCTCGTGGCTTCTGAGGCCCTCTCACCTGGTGAGACCTACCTGGTGACTTTCTTCAGTCACAGAGACCTTTTATCAACTCTGTTCTGTATTCAGCCCTCTCTTCCCATCCTCATTCTCCCTTTCCACCTGCTTGCTCTCTCTGTCACTCTACCTGAACCCCTTCTCAAAGTTGAAGTCTTGGCGTGCCCCCGTATGAGGGCTCTTTTGTTTGTGCCTGACTCCTTCTTGCCCTCCAGTCTGAGCTTAAAGATCACCTCCTCAGATACACCTCCTCTATCCAAATAATCTAGGAAGGTCCTGCTCTGCTTTCTCCACCAAAGGTCCCCTTTTCTTTCTAGCCTTTATCACAATTCGGTACTCGTTCAAAGATGTATTTACTTGATTAATTTACATGCTGGATGCCAGTTGTCCCAGCCAGGCTGTGAGCTGGGTTAGCTCAACTATGCACGTAGCACAGCACTTGGAACAGAGTGTTTGCTCAATAAATATTTGCTCCTGTGTGCCAGTTTTACCTCTGCTTCCCTTCCTTCTCACCTCTGCTTTGGGGCTCCAGCAACAAGACACTTGACGAAAGAAACAGCAGCTCAACCCATGGAAAAGTAGAGACCAAGACTCGTTGGCATACTCACGCTTGGACGCATGCTAAGAAACCATCACTCTCAGCACTGGAGAAGCTCTGATGGTCTTGTAGGTACTTGGCCACGAGGCCAGACAGGGGATGGGAACTTTCCTTTAACTTCTTTTCCTTCTGCAGAGATTCCAACTCCAGCTTTATCCTTCTTCAGGGAAAAACCAGTGGAAACTAAATGGCTGCATGATTGGCTAGAAGAAGGGGAGGGATGGGAGTCAGGGGGTAGAGTTAGATCTGAGAACATTCTCAAGGATTTTTGTCCCTGGCCCAAATGCTGATTGGCATCGGACATGGCCTGCAGTTTCGGGGAGCCTCCCCTCCCACAACCTCATCAGGAAAGGCAGGAAAGGAAATGGCAATGATCTAAAATAAATCACCTCAAGAGCTACACACACATCAAAGACAACAGGGGCAGGCAGCCCTCTCCCCGCCTCCCCCTGGGGGAAGGCAGGCCTCACCGGGTCTTCTTAGAAACTGAACAGTCCCCCTTTTGTAGACCAAAATGACGTCACCAGCTCCTCTCCTGGGCTGGACCTGGGCTTCTGAAAGGGCTATTTAAGTAGCAGCACACATTTATAGCCAGTAAAAAGGGACTATGAAAATATTGCCTTTAGTCAAAAAGTGTTTTGGTGAGAATTTTAGAACTGTGACCAGGGTTTTAATTTCCTTAATAAATCGCTGTTTACAGCACATCTCCTGTTTACAATACATCTCCTGACCATCCTGTGTAATTGGTGTGTTTATTCCACTTGTTGCTATTTTAAAGCTGCTCCAAGCTGTTTTCCAGTGTTTAATTCTAACAAACAAGTCCATCTGGCCGCATTGCTGTCTGTCTGTCAGTACGCAAGACTGAACGCGTTGGAAGGCTATGTGCAGAGGTTCAAGGGCAGCATTTTGCGAAGCAATTGAGGACTGAACTGGGATCTAGCACAAGCGAGGTTGAAATGCTTGGGTGAAAGATTGGTTATGGTTTGTGAGCAAGCTGCCTCCTTTCTACTTATGGTTGTCACGGCTGTGACTGGTGAGAGTGTCAGGGGGTTTGGAGCGAAGACTTGGGACAGGTTTTAGGGCAGCAAGTTCAGAGACTGTGCTGTTGAATATAGGTTAAGAGCAGGGACTCTGACACTTTGGGGCTAAAATTTCATAAGTTACTTTTGAGTTGTGTGATGATGGTCAGACTTGGTCTTCTCTTCTAATGGTGGCTTCCTCATCCGTCTTGCAGAACAGTTGAGGGAACATGTATAAAGCATGGAAGCCACATCTTGTCATCGTGGGTGATCCGTCAAAGGGACTTGGACTTCCTTCACTGCCATTATGCACATGCAGGAGGCATCAGACCTGTTGGAGTCCCTCAGACTCACCCCTGCCTTGACCCGGATCCCACAGATTTGGTCTCCTTTGCACCCACACTGAACGTACTTCTATCCCGGAACTTCTACCCATTTCACACTTCTGTTCCGTTTGTTCCCCTCACATTTTTCTCCTTGGGCATGGACCTTGTTCTGCTCCTTCCTGACGTCCCAGACCAGTGCTGTCTTCCAGAACTGCTCAATGGCCACAGGGGACTGATGGCTGTCATGTTGGATGGTGGCACAGTTCTGATGCCTAAGAAGTGACTGATGCTTAGCAGACATAATAAATGTGTGTTACATGACATGGTTCAGCCCAGAGGATTTGGAGTAAAGAAAATGGTGCCTTAGATGCAATTAATCTCATCTTAACCACCATGCTGGGATTTTTCATCTACATACAGCGGGGAAGACATTGTTATCCCTGTTTTACAGAAGATGAGACCTAGTCTTAGAGAGTGTCACTTTTCTTAGAATCCTCAGCTGCTAAGCACTGAAGGTTGGGTCTGCCACATCAGAGCTCAGCTGAGGGGAGGGCTCACCTGGTGGTGAAGGTGATTTGGGGTTTCATAGGCTTGCCTAGTGGGACAGGGACCGTGGGTGTAGTCAGAGTAGGGTGACTGCCTCTGGAAAAAGCAAGGCAGCATATTTATAGTCAGAGCGATGTACCAATGTGCAAAGAAGTCCCTATCAAAACTCTGTGTTAAGCATTATGCAAAGTCAAGGTCACACTAATTCTCTAGGGTAAAGATACCAGACTAGGAATATAGACACCTTCAGTGAGATCAGTTAAAGCTCAAAAGACCAGGAGCAACTTGGCCTGGAATGTTTGAGTGTTCTGCAGATAAAGATGGGCATCTCAGCAAAACCTGTGACTTTACTGTATCTCAACTATAAACAGCCCTAGCAAACAGACACCAACCCAGCCCACCTTGGGGGCAGGGCAGGTGGTACAAGTCTGCACCCCTAGCCCTTTACCCACATTCCTAAAAATCCTCAACCAACTGTAAGTCCCCTAGACAATGCACCGTCAGGGGCTCTCTTGTCCCCTCCTGGCATGAGCCAGGAGCTCTGTCCTCTCACTCTATCTCTATATAAAAGCCTCTCACTGTCTCTCCTACCTTGGGCTTTTGCTAAGTTCATTCTTCATCTCTGCAAACAAGAACCCCAGCATCACTAGGAGGTCAATGTGAGATTTCCAGTGCTGGG